TCCAAATATTCCACAGGAAAACTTGGTTTTGAAGAATATCTTATTTTCAGAAGTTTTATGAATACAAGAACATACTCTCAAACGAAACAATTTATATAAAAAGATATGTAGATATAAAAAGATACCAGGATTAAAATTTTATACGCCAGACGCGAGTTAAGTCTACAAAGAATCATCAGTGACGCTCGAATAAAAAAAGTTTAAAAGGCCAAAACAAAGTATGAAGTTGAAAAGAATTCAGGACCCAAAATTTCGAAACAAAGGTTTTACCGAATACATCTAAGATAATCTATTCCTGGGGTAGAAAATCCTTAGCTTTTCGAAAATGTCAATGGTTATAATAGGACAGTGACTCAAAAAAGAAAAGAAAAGTGTATCAGCTAGAGGTCAGAATACCGTAAGTAATGATGACCGTGCTTGAAAGTCATATGTCAAGCTCTTACTGCCGTGTCCTTAATTTAGATAAGAAAAGCGAAAATTCACATTCGCGAGTGAAATTAATATTTATGCATGCACGTTGTATTTTTGCGCAAGAAATAGTACATAGAAAGCATACGCACTGATACTCTGGATAAGAATACGCATTTGCGTCATCACATATATTAATCTAATAGTTGAATTCGGATGTCAAACTATCTACCTCAAGTGTTTTGACTCCGGATTCATTGTCAATCAATCCGGAATTTGTTAACGCAAACCGATAGTGTGCTTGTGAACAGGGTGATATATAATGTGAATGAACCAAGACGTGTAGGATAGCTGGTCAACACTATATAAATAACCCATAGCTGAGAGGGTGATAGAGCAGATTGTTACCCCGAGAAAACATTGTCAAATGAGGCGAAGCCAAGGTTGACAATGTCTTTTCGAGGTGGAACAATCTGCTCTATCACCCTCTCAGATATGTGTTATTTAATTTATTATACTGAATGTTCTGTTATTACTGTCGATTAAATTTAAAATTCAAAGTAATAAACTATGACGTCTTGTACATAACAACCATCCGTATTTAATAAAGCGCACACTTGATCAAGCGTCTCCCTGAAGGGTAATAGAGTATTTGCCATAGGATAGAGTCGTATTTAATAAAGCGCACACTTGATCAAGCGTCTCCGTGAAGGGTAATAGAGTATTTACCATAGAATAGAGTAAATTAACACCCTCGTATAAGCCAATCAAAATATTGCATTTTTACGTGAAGTATAATAAAATGAATAAACTTTTCAAAATCGTACCATAGTGCAAATATTAAGATGCTATAATGTTGAACTATTAAAACAAACAAACTAAAAAAGTATTGAAATTTTATAATTAACATACATTCCTATTCATGATTTTTTTTCCAAAAAGTTAGAATATAATATCAATAAACACAAACGTCAAGTATTTACGGATGGACATTTTATTTATCAAATCTATCTCTTCTTGAAGTCTAACACTCCACTATATTAATATATTGCTTATATACAAATACAAGCAGAGACTTATAGATCCATACTAAAACAGTATAAACTAATTAACATTATGATAGTAATTAAATTTTGGTATGATTATTGTAAAATATTAATTACGTTTTTTTGTGAGATGCAAGGATTTAAAATCCTTGTGAATTGAAACCACGCAAGTATTTTTTCATTCACGACCGTTTAAAATTTAGATATTTAGCTAACTTTTGGTACGCATCCCTGCTCATTTGTGCTCAAACGTTGCATATAATGTTCATAAATGTAATGGCTGTTCAAACCTGTGAGAGATAATGCACGTATATATGACAATTTTAATCATATTCTATTAAGAATGAATTTAGTCTTAGTTTAAACTTAATAATGAATATTCTCTTGGTCTGGTAGTATCTATTAATGAAATTGAATATTTTTGACAAAAAAATCCTTTTGTTTAATTATCTTTCTGCTTTTCGACCACTGTCGTTTCCGAACTAAGATAAATATTTATAACAGAAATATCGTTTTTTTAATTTTCTTCATGCTATGATTGAAATACAAATTATCAAATGATAAACGTTCAGAAATAATTAGTTTGTTCTAGGACATTATATATCAATAAACTATTCCCAGGTTTATTGTCACACTGCACAACAGCACGCTGTATTAAATACTACACATACAACACGTACAGGGACCGTCTCAAAGCATGAATTATATAATTGCGTTATCATTATTCTTGATATTTAATAAACATTCGCATTATTTAAAACACATTTGTTTTGTCAAAATCCCGAATTCACACAAAACTATAGGCCCAACCCGACGTCCCGAAAAGATCTGTTTAAGAGCTCAGTTTATTTAAATTTCAGAGATTAAAATCAAACAAAAATATTTTACACAAATTCGTCTTCAGACACGTTAATTGATATAGTATAGTCTGGATTTTGCTAGAAAATAGCCAATGAAATGCATACAATATCGTATGTTATGGGTCACGCACGGACTGTCTTACCTCATAGGGATGAAAATGCGGCACATCAAAGATAAGATATATTCTTACCAGATATTTACCCATTGTACCACAGAACTTAAATTAACCTGAATACATTGACCTCTTATCCTGTCGACTTTGAAGCCAGTCAGACAGTTCCACAGAAGAGACCTTGATGAAATTTGAAATTTAAACAACTCTTAGTTTTCACGGTAACGAAGATTTTGCAAGTACTTTGTAGTGATAAGTTCATCATCGAAGTAATTATAAAAATAAGATATATTAAAACATATTTTTTTGTGCGTTATGAATTACACCACAGACTTTCTTTATTCAAAGAATAAGTTCGAAAGTCCATAATTATTACCAATTCACCAAGATAAAGAAGGTTTATAATGTAATGTCTTTCGGATTCAAACTAATTAAATTTAGTTAGCGATGCAAAATTTTAGATTTTTGGTTTGCAAGTTCAAAAAGGTACAGGGGAAATTGTCCGCATTTTTTTACACCGAAGATACCGACGAAAATGGTATTTTGTTTTATCTACCTCATTTTTTATCATAAAAGACATCGTGAGATTTTAGTAAAAATTAACATTTAAGACATTTAAGACTAGTGTGTGAAATGCATTGCCTCATTTACAAAAGTATATTCACGCACGTAGCGAAAATATATCAATTTCAATTGACAAAGAGAGGCATGTTTTTACTGACTTTTATTGCAAAAGAGAACTTTCCCTTTATACACAATATTTTCAAGCAAGTACAATGTAATCTTACAGTTATATATTTGATTTGTTGTTGGAAACGTAGTTCAGTACATATCATACCGGAATCACAAGGGTGCTCCGGGATGATGTTTGTAAATTGTATAACCATCTATATCCACTGTATCATATTTCATTAGCATGCCTTCTCTCTCTCTCTTTCCCACCGTATGTTAAGGTAGTCACACACAAGTATATGTAGAGCAGTAAAATTGGTTTTTTTGAAACGATTTCGTCCTTTTTAGTCCCCCAAGGACGTTGAATGGTGGAGGACCTTAATAAAAAATACTTCCCGCTGACGTTATGAACATTTTATATTTTGTTTGCATTCCGTCTTCACTGTGTATCATCGCCACCGGAAATTGGGTACCAACGAAGCAGAGAGAAAGGAAAAAATAAATAAACAAGGCAAGGAGTCTTTTTAATTTTAACCATTTCTACCGTTTCGATGAGGTTACCGCTTTTGAAACGATTTACTAATATTCAAAGCTTTAATTTTTTATGCCAACAACTAGCAAACAAAGACAAGATTTTGTGCTATTATCCAAAACTGTGCACTTGGTACCAGAAAATTTCGAGGTCGATCGCCCTCCATCTTCCCGTTGGCCAGAAATCAATTGTTTTTTATTCTTTTTCCACATAAAGTTTTAGATTATGATAGTGTGACTTCATATTTACTGAAATTCGCTATCAAAAAGATGTTTTCTAGCGAAGATCAGTAAAATCTTATCTAGCTTAGGATACGACAACTTGCTCCTGTTGACATATTTACAGTACGGCAACTTTGTTTTCTAACTGTATGGCAACTTGCTAGTTTTATAATATTTATATGCCGTCCTTTTCAAGAAATAGCGTTATAAGTTCACGTATACCTAATATATACATTTGATAGAAATACAATTCGCTTCAGTGACGGCACTGTAGATCATGGTACACACACAGTAGTATGCTACACAGTTGTATTAGATCTCTAGCTTCATATAAAAAAAATATATGTTTTTCCAGATGTAGGAATATTATGTCAATATTTTACCCTTACAACATAAAAAAAATTCCATAAAGTGTCCATAAAATATCCTTTAAATTGTTACTAACTTCTAGTATCTATTTGTTTTATAGATTACATTATATCTCATATAATATAACGTCAGATATGAGATGCATGTAATGTCAATTAAAAATGAACAAATGAAAAATAACCAGGATTTTATCCGGATTGAATATTTATTTTCATCCGTTGCTACGCATGCTTACACAAATGTACTTTTTCCCGCGATTTTTTTTTCTTCATTTTTGTAATCAATTGATTCCTGCATTTTGTGTTGCACAATACTTATTTTCAGCACTTCCCAGGCCAAGTTATTCATTTCAATATCTCTCCTCACTCCCCCCATCCCCACCCACTCTTTTCCGCCCGCGAAAATCAAATAGTCGTTCCCTTACTTTAAAACTTTTAATATCGTAAAAAATAAAAGAACAATACAATTATGTTATCTATAAAGGTTTTAAAAATACTTAGAAATGTCTTTATAGATTGTTTATATTGTATAAAAATTGACTAGTAAAAACTTTATATTAACTAATTAATGAAATATGTTTTTTAATGATACATGTATATAGAATTGATACAACGCTAGTAAAGATTCGATTAATTTCATATATTTGAAGGATTAATGTTGAATTTTAAACACGTTAAATTCACATTTCTATAAAACCAAATATATAGATCGAGTTCCATACCTTTATAAGTATAATAACAGAGAATGTGTGCATGTTTGAAAACAAACTAACTACTAACTACATGCTGCTTTCCTTTAATCTTGGAATTACCAACTTTAATCTTGGAATTATCAACTTTAATCTTGGAATTTCCAACTTTAATCTTGGAATTTACAACTTTAATCTTGGAATTATCAACTTTAATCTTGGAATTTACAACAGTTACTTTAATCTTGGAATTTCTCACTTTAATCTTGGAATTATCAACATTTTTTTTATCTGATAGCAAAGGGAAATATTTAAGATTACAAAAATTTGACAAATTGAATCTAGCATTCGCTTTTGTTACAAATAGGGAGCAACAACAATAGACAGTTATGAATATTTAGTACGACAGATTGAAGAAGCTGTACGACACTTTATAAACATTGTATTATTACTGATTATAATCCTAAAAATAGACATATCAGTCTCCGATCACATGACTCTTCTGCGGTAAATGAAATAGTTAATAATTTCAGGCGAATTTATGCACTTGTCGCTACGTATAAAACCGTTGAATTGGTGTTTTTGGAAATACCTGTTTATTCCATTGTATGTTGGAATAAATATCAAGGCCATAAATATTTTGAACAATGATTTGAAACTAGAAGAGCAAATAATTATCGTAAATATTTTTATCCGTGAGACAAATTTAATTCATCGAAAACATTCACCAAAATTTAGTTGTGATCTTCAAAATTCCTCCTGATCACTCCTCTCACGGTTTTCATAACATTATTTAAGTGAAATCAATGGATCTCGTAAAATTTACGACTCCTGAATATCTTTGGTACTAAATATATCATGCTGAAATTTTCTTTCTTATGCACCGATTTCTTTTCCTTTTTTGGAAGAGAATGCTTTAAAAAAAATGTTTGACTAAATGTCTTGAAAAATGCATTGCTTGTTTTGAAATGGAATGGAAAAAGTAGTTTATTGGGATTTTCTACTGAAAATTATTTTTAGTTTAATATATTTATTTTGAATCCATGTAAAGCGTCCCGATATGACGTTCAAAATACGGTTGTCACGGTTGTCAATCAATTTAAGAAGGCGGGACAAACGGTCATTGGTATCCAATGTACAAAGTGTTGAAGAGCGGTGATGCTCAAACACATCGAATGACATTGTCATGAACAAATGACAATTTTGTATAAACAAAAAAAGGGCTACTACATAATCAGATTGTTTAAACCTATTTCAAAATAAAGTTGAAATTGACAAGCAAATTTTTAACCACTGTCATGATGTTACGTGTAAAACAAAATAAATTGAATTAAACAGTAATTTGCATTATGATGTTATATCAGCTAATTGACACGTTCCCAAGTAACTACTAAATAGCACGATTTAAACTAATGTACACATACCATGTGTTGATAGATTTATATAGCTGAATGAAAAAAATTTAATTTAAAAACTTTGTCTTAACTTTTCACCGTTTTTTTTAATTCCTACGTGTACATTCTGTTCAACGGTCAAACTTTATAATTTAAAATAATTCAGGAATATTTTGACCTCAAAATACACAATGTATGTGTCTAGTAACCCGCCCGACAATCGACCTTCATAATTTCGCTTGAAACCGTTCGGATTCAATCACGCGTCACTATATACTTTTTGAGAGTGTCAGCAAGTTCGCAGTGTATTCATCTAACAAATTTTTCTAAATTAACTGAAGTTCATATTAATATTTTCGTCGTTCTTTTCAACAACCAGTTGACTATAAGTATAACAAGTATCCAATAAATGAGCGTTTTAATTTACTTGACCAAAATCATTGCAATTTCATGGTGTTTCGATTTTATTTGAAATGCTGAGAGCTAGTATACGTATATATATCACGTACTGTTCGTATTCATGGACGGTCCATGGTGTATCGTTGTCATCAAGAGGACCGTCGTAAAATTTCATTACTGCTTCAAATTTAGTATGGAAAATGCATAAACTATTTGTAGATTATTTTCTTTGGTTATTTTCTTTAGTATTATTAGTTTTATTGTTTAAACGCTACTGAGGATGACAAAAGAGAAATAAACAGTATAAAACATGGATCAATAATAATGTTGATGTCAGTAAACTGTCAGTGTAACAATTAACAGCATATTGTATTCAAGAAGTGAATAAATTAAAAGAAAAAAATCAAAATTACAGTCCATTTGCTATGCGACAATTGCTGTGAATGATCATATCCTTTTCAAACGAAATGATCAGTCGGTTGTTCAGTGCGAGTAAACAAAATTGTACGTAACACAAGCCCAATCGTTTTACAGCTAGAAACTGTTATACAACTTAAAACATTTTTTTACTGTTTAACAAATTTGTTTCTGATAACTATCCTAAAATCTAATTTCAAAAGGATCGTAGTTTTCCATAAGCGCCTGTTCTGACCAGGCAGAATGTGTTGCACCATCCATTTCCGAGGCAAGCGCATTATCACCTCTTAGTCTATGGCTGCTACCTCCAATTGTTGACTTGCATTCTGGACACGTACTTTCCACGGTAGCACCGCCACATTCTCCAATCGCGTACACATGCCCTGTAAACATGGTAAATATATAATAATAATAAAACTAAAAATCAGCAACTTCACTCAAATTATTGTTTTCATTTATGTCACTGACGCTGAACACAGTTATCACAAACTCAAACGCCAGAGGTTGTCATGACATTTTAACTTACAGTGTAAGATGCACTAGAGTATCAGTATTGGCATCAAAAAATACAATTTGATTTAAATTTTCACATTTAACTAAGGTTACAACATCACAATGAAATTATGGTCTTACACGATTTAGCTGCTCTGTTAGACACTCTTTTGACATTGATTCTGTGTAAGGTTTTATTTATTCGGATTCACAATTAACTGTTCGCTTTGGTACCTAATACATGCTATATCTTGTTTTTCCGTGTCTCGTTGTTTTCGTGGTTTGCGATTTATAGAATACACGTTGTTTGACAAATATATGAACGAAAACTGCATACAAGGAGATTTCATGGTAGCTACGAAACCCGTTCTTTATGACAAAGTTGTAGTTATCTTTTAGAACATTTGATAGACCCTTTCATGATTTAATTGACCGTTACGGCATATCGGTGTCTCAGATGTCTAACGATATATCCTATTTTTTGTAGTCATATTCCGTCCTAAATATTCCGTTAGTATTTTCAGATTGTTGTTCTTTTTTATTCTATACTGCTTTGGTTGTGTCTGTCTATATCATTATTTTTATACTTAATCTTTCATTCTTTTTATGTTACAAGAATGTCTCTGACATAGGACTAAAAACTTGATATACAATTTAGTTAGATTTTGTTTTTAAATCATCAATATTCGAATATGAAAGTTTAAGTGATTTTTGTCATATAAATGATTGGTCTTTTTTGTTGAAAATTTAATTATGCATTTAAGCCAAGACATGCAATAAAAAAAAATGTTTTAATTTAAATCAATGAGATAAGAATATAACTACATGTATCACTTTTTTTCTGAAACACATTCAAGTGCTAGTGATCCATTGATTGGTGTGGTTCGTATATATATTGATGTGTTGTGATTTACGCTTGAGTTGGTAAGCGTAACACGAGGTATATGAATTAGATATCTGATTTTGTATCTTTTTTTTCAAATGTGTTTGAAAAAGGTGGAATATTGGAATATAATCTTATTTGTTATTTGTGGTTTATTTATCATTAAAACATGCCATTTGTCGCTCCTCCACTAATGCAGAACTTACTAACACAGGGCTCCCCTACTCTGCTTTCCTTAGCTGCTTAGGGATATTGTATAACAGAGGAAATTTAACAAAACAGATGAACAATGTAAAACATGTTTTACCCCAAAGAACAATACCGGTATGATAACGGAGTATTTTGAAATCAAGTCTTTCTTCTTACCGTTTGGACATTTATACCAATGGCCCTTTGACAAGTCCATTGCCTTAACGATCTCCATGCGCTCCTCGTCAGTAATGCCAAGTCCTGTCCTGGGAAGTAAATCTTTCATGCTTTCCATGAATCCCTGAACAAAGGTTTTCCTTTTTTTGGATAATCTTTTGCCATCTGTTAGGTATTCTTCACTTGTGTTCATGTCAACCGTCATCTTCCCATCTAATCTAAAAATTGTTCCCGGTACTTTTACCTTGAAGTGTAGGAAATTTACCAAAAGCTTTAATCTGTCGAATTCATCAACAATATCAATCATTTCCTGTGAAGTGAAATACTTGCGTTCGTTTGCTATGAATTCACGGAGGCATTTTATGTCATCATAAAATCCAGCTGAATACATACTGAGCATCAATTTAGTATCGGTCTGTCTTCCATGTTGTTTTTCTAGACCAGAAAGGCGTCTAAAGAAAGTAATCTGGTTATTCACTGTTGCAAAATTCTGTACTGAAACTGGTCTTTTCGACATTATTTCCATTTGCTGTTTTACGGTTGCGCGATCCTCTATTGTTAGTTTGACAATTCCTTCTTGAATCGATTCACTGATTTGATTAATCCTCTTTTCATCACCAATCATTTGTTTTTTAACACATTCAATGTCTTTAAGAACTTCTTTTATCATATTTCCATATCTCAAGTTTCTTCTAATTGGAGTTTTGCATTTAGGACACTCCTTCAATTTGATGCTGTTTTTGGTCTGGTCGCTGTCAATATTTTCATCCATCCAACGATCCATGCCACTCACTTCAAAAAAATGGCAACAGTCTTGCAACTGAACGAATCGAGCGTCGTCGTCATCTTCTGTGCCAAAGAAAATTTCTTGTACTTTATCGTAACTGCATATCCTGCAAACAACTGGACATAGTTCACCACACAGACCAATGCATTCATGTCCACACTTCAGCATCTTCTTGCACGAATGATTACATCGAGGTCTTTTGCAAGGTTCACTACATACCTCTTTACATGAATGGTGCTCACACTGCCATTCACATGGTTCGACACATGGAATACATACGTCACCACAATATTTTTGACATTTGCTGTGAACACAACGGTTCTGACAATTACGTGTACAAGGCGGGCAGTTTGAACATTTGTCCTTACACAGATGTTCACACACTAAAGGACGTTTGCATTCTTTTTTGCATGATCTATGTAGTCGTCCATAGAAACAGTCTCCGCATGTGCCTTTACACATATGTTCGCAGTCTAAAATTTGCCGACATTGCTTCGGACATTTTCCATCTTGTTTGCAGCATTTGACTGTCGATGAGTGACCACATGGCCATGTTTTTGTTATTTCTTCCTGGCAAGAAACTGTATGACTATCGCTGCATGAATTCTGGCATATATGCTGACATGACAATACAATTTCGCATTTCTCTCGACATATAAATGTAAAAGATTCCTGAGAGCATGGCACATTTTGCACGTGTCCACATTTCGGTATGATTTTAGGGACCGTTACTTTACATTTCTTGCACTTCTTGCTACAAATACCAGTACATTTGTGACCTAATTCGCAAACAGTCTTTTGACATGGTTTCATACACACATATTCTTTATGCTTCTTATCATAAATATGACAAGCTCTGGTACATGCATGTCCACATTTTAACTGGAACTCACATGGCTTCATGCAACCACCTTCGGGTGCTTGTTTAAAATCATTTGCTGTCATGGCATATATTCCATCATCGTTTGGATGATTCTGACAGTAGAGAGCGAGACTGTTTCCAATCATCTTTTCTTTTCTAGCTAGAGACACGATTTTGCCCCAAAGCTTGTCTTTCGTCAACATTTGAAAGTTGCCTATGACATATAACCCCTTTCTCGCCCTAGATAACGATACACAGATACGATTTTCTATGCTCAGAAATCCCAAATTTTTTTTTGCATTGCTGCGAACTAAGGAAAGGAGAATTATATCATTTTCTTCTCCTTGATAGTTATCCACAACTGTTAAGTGAACACCATTGAAATTCGATTTTGGCATTCTTCGTTTTAATTCAAATAACTGGGCTGAATAAAGAGTTAGAACAGTAATCTGATCAGGTTTATATCCTTGTAGCAGAAGGTATTTACATAATGCTACGATATACTCTGCTTCATGTATATTAGAATGACTTTTTATGTCTGCATCAGACATTTCCATTTCAGTATGCTCAATGAAAAATGCGTTAGTAGAAACTCCCTTTACTGGATCATAAGACTTCACGAATTCATGATCTAACAGTTGAGGGTATATAATCCTCATGACTCTAGATATTTCAGGACGCATTCTATGCTGCAGCGCAAGACAACGGTAGTCCAATTTATTGTTGATCAGCCTTTCAAAAAGGGATATTTCTAGTTTGTAATCTCTAGCTAGTTTGTATACAGTCGGATTTGGCTTCAGTTGTTGATGATCACCTATTAGAATGAGATGCTCACAATGCTTGCTCAGCGTTGTGATAACGTGGGCTTCAAGTACCTCGGCAGCCTCCTCCACGACGATTATTTTTGGTCCTATTTCTTTCAAAACTGATTGATACCGTGCGGCACATGTTGTTGTAAGGCCAATCACTGACGATCGACGCATAATCTCTTTGTCTTCATGCAATTGCATTTCATTTGCAATGTCGCACGCCTCTTGGAATTCCTGTTCTCTTAATTCAACTTGGTATTGTAGGGTTTCACAGTAGCAATATACCCAGTATCTATAGAGGCGCCATCTATCTTTTTGTACAATTTTCCATATATTTTGTATCCTAGTTACTTCACTACTGTTCATTTTATCAGGCGATGCCAATTCTTTTCTAATTATTTTCTTAATCGCTTTTTTCTGTTTCCGATCAAGTTTCCATTCTTCTGTTCCGACTGCTTCCTCCTTTCCGATGCTTGAAACATCTAATGCTACTGTGTTTGTTGTTAACCCAATTGCTTGCAACATATTTGTTATTTCGGTTATAGCACCATCATCGTCTATTTCTTCATAATTTTCATCATCAAATATGTCCATCAATCTATTCTGCATTTCACCATCAGCTTCATCAACCGCATCAATAAATTCGTCCTCATCGTCTTCTTCATCATCTTCGTCGTTTCCGGTTAATAAATCCCGTGTTGTTGACAAAGAGGGCAAATGTAATGTTTCCTGACCACATGTAAGATTTCCATAGCCTAGCCACTCTAAAATTGCACTTTCCCTCTTCCCGGATTGTTGATTAAAGCCGTGTGCCATCATTTCTTGTATCAATAACTGATGGCCGTGTATCAGCTGACGCCATAATCCTTGTCCTATAGCTGTCTCCAGCGTTTCTTCGTGTAACACCTCTCGCTTAGCTACTTCAATTCTTTCTGAAATTTTATTTATAGCAGCCTTCAGGGAGTTCATATGAACACGTGCTTTTACCCTTTCTCGGAACAAAGCAAGTGGCGCACTTCTGTCTCTTCGCAACGCCATTCTCTTTGAATTGATGTTATGCAGTTTCATTACTTCGCTGGAACTTCTACTTCCAAGTCGTAAAATATTTCCTTTGTAAAAACCTATAACTCCTTCTAGGAACTGGTCTAACGCGTGATTAGTATAGCATACTACCAGGAGCGGACTACTATTATTTTCATCAGGACACCATATATCTTTATTGTGAAGAAGAGCCTTTACTATTTTCAGGCCGATATATGTCTTTCCTGTCCCTGGTGGTCCTTGGATAATGACAAATTCTTTTGAAAGAGCCATTTGAACTGCTTCAAACTGCGATTCATCCAAGTGTAACATCTCCGGGTCTGGCCAATTTCTTACATTGTTTACTTTGACATTGTAAGCAAGTTGTGATTGTGCACTAAATGTATACACTGGCTGACGCCCTCTTAAATGATGACATGTTTTGTCATAGATTATCACATCCGTGTCTACTAATGGTCTGAGATCATATCGAGCTCTAGGATTCCTCTGAAGGTACGCTGGCGGATCGACATCTGTTTCGCAGGAAACAATATATTTCTCGAATGCAAGGTCTCCTCTGTGCATTGATTTTAAACCTGTCAACACATGTCGGTACGCTTCAAAGAATGCGTTTGATTCTGCCATAACAAGCACTAATCTTTCAGATAACATTACTATTTCGCTTGCATCTGTTTCAAATTTCAAATCAACCAAACCTTTCTTCAAGTCTTTCAGATCCCTATTTCCGACAGTTGCAAAATACAAGGTGTCAAAATTATCTGATGATAGGCATACTAAAGATCCAAACAAAAGGCGCTTGCTTGATTCCCATCTAATACGTTTAAAACCTGGACATGAGAAACTAACTCTTCTGCATAAGCCACTGCTGTTACATACTGTACTTATTATCTGTACATCAGTGTACACCCTTATCTCCCTTGGATTATTTCCCTTCTCCTTTGGTCTTTTTAAAGCTGCTATGTAATCTTGAATTCCATCACGTAAAGGTCCTATAAAATCCTCTCGAAGTAATCGGAATTGTACGTCTAGATAATGTTGCAGATTTTCATATCCACCAAAAATCTTATTTTTTCTTAAAAAGGGATATATATCAACATGGATATCATGCATTTCTGGAAATACTGGAATTTCATGGAAGTCTTGTGGTGGTTGTTGGTTAGACTCCAAAGCCGATTGTCCATATGACTTATCAGTATCACTGGAAATCTGTTCCATTTCTTCTTCGTTTGAGTCATCTAAGTGTCTATATGCTAATATCAATTCTTGCGAACTTGGTCTTTCACTGTCTGAAAGTTTTAATACTATCTGTCCTAATATTGTTGTTATACCTACAACTTGGAACATTGAGCTCGGTATTCTTAATTTTATTTCTTTGCAAATGTTCAGAATGTATAGCATAGAAGCTTCATACTGTTCCAAGCTTATTTTGGGTAACGACTTTAATTTTACAATAAACTTAAGAAGAGTAATCTTTAGAAACTCTGAAGCTTCAAGTGTAGTTAATATATGTAGAACTTGTTGCCTAAGCCCTGTATACTTGCAAGCTTTAGAAAGACAATTCAAAATCAGTTCTATCATTTCATCACTGTGGTTTGTACAATCAAGGACATTCTTTGACAAATCTATATTAGCGCTGAATTCAAAAACTATATCGCTCGGTAGTTTATTTATTAGTTCAAGCAATCGGCTGTATCCAAAGACCTGTTTCCAGTGTTTTTCGCCTTTCTTGCTCATATTATGTCCTCTTTTTGCCCCTCTCATGTTTCTGAAATATAAATATTACAAAGCATTGTAATAGACATTCTAATGCAAATCGTTTAGAACAATAGCTTTCATTGGAAGTTGACTCGAATTTTTAAGGATTAGATTCCACGTTCTACCAGTCCGTAACTAAGTAAAGCCACCATTTTGAATTCCGATAATTTTCGGTATGTCATTTTTCAAAATTTTTTTTTTTTGTGCATCAAAATCTTCTTTTAGTCAGTATCTAAACCATATATAATATATATATAAAAGCGTACGAAAAGTAGAAATACGTCTAGTACGTATGTTTGACATCGGGAGTACACCTATGAGGTCACATTGTTTAGATGCCAAAGACGATGTAAAAGTTTCGCAGACTTTTTTATTTATGGTATTTTTAGGCCAAAATATTTACTAAAATGGAATTTATTTTAGTATGTGGCACTAGAATGGAGATAACTGTATTGTACTTTTTGTTTGGCCTTCATAAAACTTGATTTTCCTGTCGCAAATATCCGTTTACCTAGCTCAGATACGCGTCGCTAGGTAAACTCAATTTTATCTCCTAAGTGTAAATATAAATACCGATGAGACAACTATCCACCAAAGTTCAAATAAAGTGGATGTAAGCAATTATAGGCAACCGTACTGCCAGTATACCTTTCAACAGTGTCATCATGATATTAAGACAATGTTCTCATAATGATGAGTTATTAAAGAGGTACCTTACTATTCCTACACTCAAAACCTAAGCAATCAAACTACAAAGACAAAGCTTTTTAATTTGGGAATAAATAAACAGCCTGTTACAGTTATCTCCTTATGATCTACTGTCCTCAAGTGTCACCTTCCAAAGCACTTTCAAATGAGAATCAATTAATCTCTTTAACATATGTGAGCTATTGCTCAATAAAAAACCCTAGGTATGACTTGTTGTTGGTGATAAAATCGGACGAAAATTTCATTTAAATGTATTTCATCTTCAAGAAATATTTATTCGGCAAAGCCAAAGTCTAACTTTCGATAAGAAATTAAAACCTGTCACAGGACGATCCATAACCAGATGATCCCATAAATAAAGAAATTATGACTTGCAGTTGCAAAGAAAAATACGAAAGAAAGGTATTACATATATGAACGGAAAGGTGCAAATAAGTATTCATCGGCATCAAAAATGCAAGTTATTAAAACCTGATAGTCTAACGTTCAGAGGGTAAAAACGTTTTCGCCCAGAGACAGGTTAATTTTTGGTTGGCACACTAGCCTCCTTTCAAAATATCTCAAAGGATCGCTAAAGTTAAGAAAAAATGTTATAAAAAATAAAAAGATAACGAAAAAGTAGCGAATAAGGAAACTTGACGACTTTTCATCTGTTTATATACCCTGGTCGTTCGTAACACTAATAAAAATGCGGGAATTAATTTTAAAATATTTGACAATATTTATTGTGGAATCTAGAAAATCAAGTGTTATATAAAAGTATATTATGTCTATCATTTTAATCACCAGAAGATTACTTGATATTGACGAAATATTCAATGCATTGTTTAAGATATATGGCACAATAATTCAAAACTTTGGCGACGAATTTAACATGATTTATTGGTTGGAAATAATCGGTCCCCTTATGGTTTTTGTCGGGTTTGTCATCGTGTATAATGTACGTACTTTTATTGGAAAACTTTGTACACCCTATGAGAGTGATTTACAGGGTGCTAAATGGCTGTTTAGAGGAGGTTTTGAACTATAAAATATTTTGTTTGTTGTGGATATTACAACTCCTTCCTTAATTTTTTTTAAAGTTATGAAAACCCTGGCGCACTATGATATACGTGGTGTTGAACTGCTTTCTAGAGGGAGTGCCTAAAATATGAGAAAATATTAGTGTTGTGAGTACATTAAAACTTGCAAAAGGAGTACTGATCTCTGAAAGGTAAAAATCAAATTGGGACAATTTGATAAAGCTGCCATTTTCACTATTCAAAAAAAAAAAAACAATGTGCAGAAAAGAGGCTGACAGATCTAGAGTCATAACATACATTTGTTAAAAAAATGACAAAATCAAATCATATTTTTTTGAAAACTCACGATGCAGCAGTAACTTTCATCTGTTGGTTATCCTGGCGACTAAAACCGGAATTTCCTCTTTGACCTCTTTTGGCTGCTGCATTAGTATTTCCCTTGCCTTCATATGTATCTCTAGCATACTTCGATGTTCTATCTCTTACGCTACTTGAACGTGCATACTCCCTATAACAAAATGGCAAAGTAATTATCAATAATGCCGATCATTTTTAACTCTTAAACTACTGTAATGTCTTTTTCAGACTGTTGTGTGTTCTCTAAAAGAGGCGGAAGATACCAGTGATGCATCAAACACTCATTAGTCGATGAAAAAAACGAAAATTAACAGCAAAAAAAAAACCGAACAAATCAACAAAACACGACATATAAAATTAAAGATTGATCAATACAAACTCCACCATAAACCGGTGGTGAACTCAGAGGCTCGGGAAGGATAAGCAGTTCCTGCTTCCTATGTGGCACCCGTCGTGTTACTCATGCAAGTACAAATCCAATGACAAGTCTCGTACGGTGATGTCACAATCGAGGAAAAGTCGACGGGATTGTGGTTACGACAATTGGAACATATCCGTGGTCATCTGTGACACAGATATTCCATAACGGTCAATCAACTCGTGATGGCGTCTGTAAAACTTTCTATAAAATGATATTAGAGCCTCGTCGGATAGAAATCGACCTTATGCAAGTGCACGTATACATGCACACGTGTAAGACTTTGATTGATTTTAGAACATTCAAATACAAAGCAAAAGATGAATTTGGGTCGGTTTTGCAGGGTTCTTATATCAACTCAATTTTTAAACAGTTATAGACTTTGCACAGAAATTTTTTTGACCCGAAATAAGTTAACAGATGTATTGACATTCATTTGCATAAGGTCGATTTCTATCCGACGCAGCTCATTATAAACCTTTTCGTCAAGTTAACTGTTTTTCTACTTTTAAAGGTCTATAAATATGCTGTACATTTAAGTTAACAAGGACTCCTACTTATGTTCTTGAAGTTGCAGACTTATTCCTCATTCATTATTTGTAATTAAAACGAATAATACGCAAAGGCACAGTTATCTATTTCTTATTCTGATTCAACTTTTGGACACGAATAATGTAAGAAATATGAAAATGAAAAATAACAAACTGTATCTGCAATATTCAAATAGTCTTACACTTCATTATAATTCGTATACTGTGGATATTAATCTTGAAGTGCATGAATATCCATCTGGTACACAATTCCGCTTTCTATTTTGATTATTTACAAATCTTTGTCGAATTTCTTATAATATTTTTAAGAGTGTTTAACATGTCTTCGAATGTAATTTTAAAGTTTAAGCCAAAATAAAGTGATATCCACAATTAACAAAATATCACATATTTCTAAACCTCGTCTGGGTGTTTATACATCCTTGGTTTATAGCGTTCCTGGTGAAGATGCATCCAGAAGGGCGAAACCTTTCAGAATTTTGGGTTCTAAATGCTCTTCAAATTTGAACTATATTTTGTCTTTTATATTGTTTTATTCGAGCGTCACTGGTGAGTTGTCTGTATTCGAAACGCGCATCTGGCGAACAACATTATAAACCTGGTATTTTTTATGAGTATTTTCTCATTAAGTGATTACTTCTTTAAAAATATTACTCAACTAAACTCTTTTTTATTTTTTTTTGTATGTCGAAATTGAACTTGAATTTAATCAAAATTTAAGCTGATGTTATATTCCTTATTCTTTATGATGTTACCTAACACTGTGTACAGATGTATCTGTATCACTCTCTTCGCCGCTTGATAAACTGATTCCTGGCAAATAAGGTCTTTGGAAAGGTGAGCTGTCACTATCTTGAGGTCTTTGATTTCTAAACGAAATATGATAAATAAAGCTTTTTTTTGTACATTTGTAGTTAGATAGTTATGCATAATGATATGATTTGAAAGTAGAAAATATTCCGGATTAAGTGTTATGACCATGCAATTCCCTGTATGTTTTTATAATGTGCGTGTGCGTGTGCGTGTGTTTGTGTGTGTGTGTGTGTTATTTATATTACATAGTATATACAGTGTATGTTTTTTTTTCAAAACTATTTATCTCGGTATAATTATCCGTTTCATGTGTACCCCGAATTGTTCATACCTGTTTTGATGAAATCCCCTTCCTCTAGTATTCCCTCCTCTTCTGTAACCTTCTTCTCGGTTTCTTCCTCTATATACACTCCCTCGTCTTCCTTGGCTTCTGAAATGTATTGATAGCTGTAAGACATACGAACGAAAGTTATTGATGAATTTACACATAAGTCATCCACTATCTCGGATTGCAAATTCGTCATCTGTTATTTAAAATCCCTTACATCATTACTTGTACGTTGTTTCCAATTGATAAAGGCGGCAGATACCAAGGCGACATTCAATATTCATAGGTCGAAGAAAAACTGACAACGCCAGGGCAAAAATGAAAAACGACGAAAAGACAAAAAGTAAAAAAAAACTACATAGAAAGCTAAAGAACGAAGTCCCCTGTTGCCGTGGAATCGGGTTCTCAATCGACCTTCATGGTCAATTTCTAGTTATAAGTCAAGACAATTAAATAAAAAGTAAGTCATTTAGCTATAGGGAGAAGACATCTATATAATAGCAGAAGTGAAGTGAAATGATAATTCTATGTTTTTTTTTCTAATTCTTCCAGATCAGTTCCTGTATGAAGTCTGTCGCATATGAATAAAGAAAAAAGTCGTCAATAAGAGAAACACAATTTGTTCTCATCGAAATGCCGATTGTTTGTTGAAAAACACGTCCTCCAAACGTAACAAATATGTTGTCAATTAAAAAATCTATCATCTTTATGATACAAATTTCAGGGAATGTGTTCTTTGAATCAGAGTGTTTTTTCTTCTTTTTTTTTTACAAAGTATGATTTATTTCTTCCTATAACAATATATTTGTATCTACATCGGCCATTCTTTTCTCAATCTGTCTTAAGTTTAGTATTAGGGATATAGTGTGAAGCGTAGAAATCTAAAATTATAAAAAATTTTAAATTTAGAATTTAAAACAGGACAAAAAAAAAGAAGCGAAAAGATACTAAACAAACATTCAAACTCATAAATCGAAGACAACGTAACAACCCCATGGCAAACAAACAAAAACTGACGAAATAAAAAACAACAGTCAACGAAACACAACATAGAAAAATAAAGATCGAACAACTCGAACCAACCAAAAAAACCGACGGAGATCTCAGGTGCTCCGGAAGGGTAAGCAGATTTTGATCCACGTATTTCATAATCTATTTTTTTTAAGTACCGTGAACATCTATTTTAACTATTAATGGTTATACAAAAAATAATCTTATATCGTCTAAATAAGCATTTGCAGTATCAACAGATTCATTAAACAGTAAACATTAACAGTTTCAATCATTTAATTTGAATTAAACTAATATTTATTTCAGGAAACGAATGTGTACCGGCTTTAAATATTACCAAAAACATGAACGTGAAACGAGAATCGAGAACCACTTAAATTATAAATAAAAACTCTTCGACTGCTTTTTCATCTGAACAGATTTTCAAAAAGTAAACACAAGCAATTTTAAAATACTCCACAAAATTTCCAATGTTAATTGCGGGTTTCGTTGAGCTTCCCAGCTACATGTGATTTGATGTTTCTTGGTAAGTAATCCTTAAAGTTTCATTTTTTGTTCCTACCATCCTTAAAGAACTCATATTATTTAAGTGCTGAGGTCATGCTAAAATTAACTTATATGCAAGCAAAATATTTTGGTATTTTTTATAATTTGACTTCTGTTCATTTTACAATTGTGTTTAGAAGAATTCTATTAGACTAAGTATTCAAATGCTTTGATTAGACACATTTATTCAATTAAAAAAAATCCATTTTATATGATTGAATTTCATAAATATTCAAAAATAAACAACCAAAAGATAATTTTTGCAATTGATTTATATATTCAATAAATGATTACACTGAATGAAACACTGAAACATAAAACCCGAAAATAACCCTTTAAAAATGGTCTAAAAATGTCAAAGAAAATTAAGTGTAAACCGATACCCAGTTATATATTGAAATTGAAAGCGCTACAACATTAACAATTTATAGTATAAAAAGTACAGTAAATGCAATTGAGAGATAAATTCAATAAATGATTACACTGAATGAAACACTGAAACATAAAACCCGAAAATAACCCTTTAAAAATGGTCTAAAAATGTCAAAGAAAATTTAGTGTAAACCGATACCCAGTTATATATTGAAATTGAAAGCGCTACAACATAAACAATTTATAGTATAAAAAGTACAGTAAATGCATTCCTGGTCCATAGAACTTCCTTTCAGAAAACATTGATCCATGTACATTTACGAAAGCAGTTACTTAAAAAATAAATATCTTGTCACAGCAAAATGAGTATATTTTTAAAAATCGGATTTCAGCCTGTTGTTAATCAAATAGTGGTTATGGAAGATTTGGGTCTATATAAGAAGAGGTAGAGTGTTTTATACTTTGCCAAAATGCTATAATTTCAAAAACAAAGTAAAAATATGGATCGACGACCTTTTTTCAAAGCTTAAGTTTGTGAGAAAAAAAATCTGATTTTGTAAGGATTATACACGGGAAAGGTACATTTATATGAGTAGTGATTTGAGGACTGTTGTTTTTCTGTTTGTTTTCTCTCTTTAGACCATGGAGTTATCTGTTAGGTCGACTTTTGGCTTTTGGTGTCCCCATTGGATTTTCTTCCTTTTTCTGGTCTTACCTAACACTGTGCCCAAATATATCTGTATCGCTATCTTCGCTGTCTGATAAACTAATTCCTGATCCAAAATGTCCATGATGAAGTGAACGGTCAACATCCGGAGGTCTCTGATTTCTACAGCAAAATATATAAATTATAGGTGTTATTTTTATATTTATTTGAAGTTAAATAGTTAGAAATTAAAATGAGATTTTAAAAACAAAATTTCCGCATCAAGTATATTTTTGCAAATTTGAATTGTTTATACCGATAAGATTTGAAAGGAGAACATGCTCCGGATTAAATATTAATTGGCATTTTGAATTAGCTTTATAATTTAAGATTCTGTGTATGCTTAAAACATATAATGGTATGTATATTAAAGATACAATGCATCTTTTTAGTTAAAGACAAATTATTTTGGATCTTGAAGATGCATATTCATAAATTCGCTACTATAACCGCTGAAAAAAGTGAAATATTTTTCCCGTTACATTCCGCTTAATATACATGTACTATCATGGCCGTGGATAAATATAGACAATCATGTATGCTTAATCGATATATAACATAATAACTTTGCTTTCGCAAAACAATTACTAAAATGAGTTGAAAAACGATATGGAAAAAGAGATATGATGATACTAACCTCAACCAGACAAAAAAAAAAAAAACAAAAACAAAAACGAGTGTAACGCATTGTTCATTATATATAAATGGGAAAATGTGTTTTTCATATATGTTTTCCACCCTTGTACCTGAACATTATACTATTAATACCTGTTTTGATGAAATCCCCTTCCTCTAGTATTCCCTCCTCTCCTGTTGCCTTCTTCTCGGATTCCCCCTCTATATCCACTCCCTCGTCTTCCTCGGCCTCTGAAATGTATTAAAGGCATTTAGATATACGAAGGTAATTGAGGGACACATCAGTGATCTGTTTTCCCGGATTGCGAATTCGTTTTCTCTGATTGCTTCTAACACCTTTATACCCTTTTATATGTAAGGAACAATGCTGGATCTAGTGGTACTGATTTCTGTTTCGTATATAAGGAACATGGTCATTATTTTCACAAAAGCCGTCAGAAGTCAGTACTGAACACTATTTATATGATAAGCATTATTTAGATTATTTATCTCACGCATTATTGGGGAAACAACAAAAATAAATTATTCTGTAAAATTCCAATTATAAAAAGTAGTTTTCAAATGACTTGTAGTGTCAACACATGTTTCTGAGGGAAATTCAATTTAAGATTATTCCTGAGATAGTACTTGAATACAAGTATAATGGATATAATAGACGAAATGACAAGAATCCTCCTGTAGAAAATCATCGACGCAATAGATACGATATTCACGTTAAAGAGTTACTAGTAGTACGAACGCTATCTCGAGTTTTACGGAAGCCATCATGAGTTGGTTGGCCGTTATGTAATATCTATTTCACAGATGACGATGTATATGTTCCAATCGTCATGACCACAATCCCAACCTCTTTTTCTCGAATGTGACCTACCGAGTTAGACTTATCACTTGGTTTGTAATTACATGAGCAACACGACTGTTGCAACATGTGGAGCAGGATCTGCTTACCCTTCAAGATCAACTGAGATCATCCCTGGTTTTGATGGAGTTTGTGTTGCTCAGTCTTTAGTTTTCTATGTTGCGTTTTTGGATACTGTCTGTCTTTTGGTCTTTTCGTGTTTTGCCATGGCATTGTCATTTTATTGTCGCCTTATGAGTTTGAATGTCTCTTTGGTACCTTTCTCATCTCTTTAAGTAATTAAAGAATTCGCATTGCGGGTGATGCATGCAGAGCCGGAACGCTTATCCTGTCGACGCACAAGATCTCGTTGCTTTTTTTATTTCATGCGATTCTCTCATTTTGTGTTACCTTGATTTGTCTCTTCCTATTCGATTTACGATATTTGAACATTGGTAAAATTAAAATCACTCACCTTCTGCCTGGTTGATCTGTCATTCCGCTGAAATAAAGGATGTTACTTCATGTATTGTTTTAGTCGTTCACAGTATTGCCACCTGCAGATCACGTACTATGTTTATCTGCAATACAAAATTAATAAGTAGCCTCAAATGCAAAAAATACAAATAATGCATTAATAATAGCATCGTTTGATATAGTCATTGTTTATACATATATTGCATATATTTTTACTGGACGTCTCTTTTTTATCTTACAATTTAGCCTCCAGTTGGTATTGGTATTGATTCAATTATTTCAAATAGCCTTTAAAATTTCTTAACTGTTATATATGAGAGACTAATGGAAAATATCCTGATTCATGATGAATGACCTTTAGAATTAATCCATTTTCCGGACGCTAGTTTCCCTATTTGTGGGTCTTCAGCAATATAAGTAAGAGCAAAGTAAAGAAGTAAAATCAAGTTTTCAATCAGTACAATTTTTGGGGAACGGTAAACTTATTCGTTCAGTGTATGTTTACTTGTTTTTGTTTAAATGTCTTTTTGGTCGAGTTAAGCCATTTTAATTGATATTTTATAGTGTGTCTTTTTATGTTGTAATGTTACACTACTGTCTCAGATTAGGGTGAAGGTTTGCGCCTGTTAAGACGTTTAAACCAGCAGCATTTTTATGCACCTGTCCTAAGTCAGGAGCCTGTTGTTCAGTGGTTGTCGTTTGTTGGTGTGGTTCATAGGTGTTTCTCGTTTTTTATATAAATTAGACCGTTGGTTTTCCTGTTTGAATTGTTTTACACTAGTCATTTTGGGGTCCTTTATAGCTTGCTGTTCGGTGTGAGCCAAAGCTCAGCGTTGAAACAGTACTTTGACCTATAATTTTTAACTTTTTATACATTGTAACTTGGATGGAGAGTTGTCTCATTGGCACTCATACCACATCTTCTTATTTATATAAATCCGTAAATTAGTTTATACTAGTCACTGGGATATAAAAATATTTCGAGATTCAAAATTTGCTCTACACGTTAATTTTTCATGGAGAGAAATTAAGAGTCATCATTATGAAAAATTGCAGCTTATTTTGTTGTTTTTCGAACTCTATAGCAATAGGACGGATTTTTGAAGTGTCTCATACTGAGAAGTGAAAGATAGCGTTTATCGATGAGAATTTCATATTCAGAATTGCAGGATAGGTTGACATTAGTCAATCAATAGTATACTAAATTATTTCAAAATGTTTGCCTATCTATGTGATATTTTGTCGAAGGCGATTTCACAAACAAAAACGTTTCCTAATAAATCTTAAACAATTTGGCATCTCGTCAAGATAAGAAAATAGCCTGTTTGTTTGTGAAAATTGGTACCATTTGTTTATATAGTAAAATATATACCGTTTCTTTTGTAGTTTTTTTTTTTCGAGTACTTCGTCAAATTTACAAAACATAATACAACCTTCAATCGAACAATAAAAAAATGCATATGTTTTCATTTTTTTCAAATTTTAATTAAAGATTATTAAGGTTTGCGTTCTCCTCTTGTATAATGTTTTCAGACTTGAATAGACCATTGTATAGTGTAAGTTTTTAAAGATTTGTACCGGTGAATTGAAATGTACATTCCTTTTAAATTATTATAAAGAAAGCGACCGTTTAACTGTAAAAACGGTTATGAAAGATGTATTGACTTATTTTTTCTCGATTTCTATGCGATTATCAGTTTCATAAAAGAGTGTTCCTATTTCACGATTCAATTCAACTACTGCTTTTAACAAACCATGAACCCTTCTATGTTAGGAAAATCTAGAATAATACAGATAGGTTCTCTTGTTGTTACATCATAATATATATAAATGTATTTGATATACGGTACTATTCATTCATATCTGCTTTTGTAAAATGTAAGTTATTTGAAGTAACATCAGGTTATTTTAATGGTCTATTTCTTTTCACGGAACATCTGATTATAAAAACTTGTCCAAGTTTGTCCTATATTTCAAATTAGTTGATAACATGTAACATACTAATTGCCTATATATAGTAAGAATTCGGGTATGTAAAATAATGATATGCCGTGTTATTGCCAATGAGGCTATATACCAAAGACTAAATGACAAGCATGTAAATAAGTATAAGTTACAATATGGCCTTCAATTATAGCCAAAGTAATATCGTATCGTTGACTATAAAAGGTTCAAGGATAACACAATATGAAACCAATCAAAAGAGAAAACAAATTGTCCGATAACAAATAAAATCAAACAAAAAAACTGCAGCAGACATAAAACATCCACAACCATATTAAAATACAGACTCCTGACAGGTTCATAAAGAATTTAACAGGTTTAAACATATTTGAGAGCGATATACCTTCTCCCTAACCGAAGACAATTTTCAGTAGAGCAATCTATAAATATCAGGTTGATGCTAGACTCATTAGCGAAGGTTATTAAGAACAACAACGACCAACAAAATGACAAGAGAAAATAGTACTAGTCTACGAAAACTGAATGCTAATTCAAGGTCCTGTTTCTTCTAATAAATAGACCATGTATTTGCAGACTGAAATATAACGGATTCAGAGTAAAGAAATGGAAAAACACAAATGCGTGCAGTGCAAAAATGAACGTATCGACAGGGTGCAGAACCAAAAGTGTTCAAACCTGGATAGCAATATTAATATGTTAAGTTCTTTAACGTATAAACATAAAAATTATTGTAAGTACCGATACAGACAATATTCAAAGATCGAACTGAAATATTCCACAAGGTCATGTGACTATTAAGAGTGATTGCAAAGGACTAAGAAACAATGTTTTTTTTTGTCGTCTGCGAAAAAGTCACTGAAAAGAGAATAAGGCGTGCCGTTTCTGACGTCGGTGGTATCCACGATTATTAAATTGTGTAATTAAGTTAATATGAGTAGATCCGTTAATGGCAAGTCAACGAGTTTTGTGATGCAGTTTTATAATTCATAAAAATATCACAAAAATATTGGACTTTTTGATCGACAACATATTTGTTGGGTGGATTGATATTTCATTAGACGGTATTCCAATGCCTATTAATTGTGCATCCCTTCTTAAAGACTTGATTTAATGTTCATATGAAGCAGAATTCCTACAGAACCTTCTCAAAGATAAAAAGAAAAAAAATACATCTTCCAAGGTTTTTTTCTCACTTTTAGATATATTGATGATGTACTGTTACTCAATAACCCACATTTCAGTAAGTGGTTGCATCTCATCTATCCAAGTGAATTTGAGATTAAGGATACTACCGAAACAAGAAGGTATTTTACACAAGTTTAACGGACATCATCAAGCATTGGTTGAACGATACGATATGTCTATCTTACCTCACTAGCGATATGTATTTGCGGTCTCAGATCTTTAAATACCCGAATAAAATCGTCTAATCTCTTAATTTACAGATTTCGTCCTATTCTCGATTGTGTCTTACTCCCGATTGACTGAGTGGGGATTAGCATGGATGTAGATGCATGGATAGCATGAGACGTTTGTCGTATTGACGCACCCGATCTCGCTCCTTTCGATTCCCTCTGTTTGTTTATTTTTTCCTTGATTTGTATCTTCTTAATGGATTGATTGCTTCGCATCACGGTGCGGAGCTATTAAAAAAGAGGGACGAAAGATACCAGAGGGACAGTCAAACTCATAGATCGAAAACAAACTGACAACGCCATGGCCAAAAATAAAAAGACAAACAGACAAATAATATTACAGATGACACAACATAGAAAACTAAAGACTAAGCAACACGAATCCCACCAAAAACTGGGGGTGATCTCAGGTGCTACGGAAGGGTAAGCAGAGCCTGCTCCACATGTGGCACCCGTCGTGTTGCTTATGTTATTACAAATCCGGTACATAGTCTTATTCGGTAAGTCACATTCGTGAAAAAGAAAGGGTATTGTAGTTACGACATTAGGAACATATCCGATATCATCTGTGAAACGGTTATTCCATAACGGTCAACCAACTCGTGATGGCGTCCGTAAAATTTACGAAGGGATGATTTCAAATTCACCATTTGGAACTCTTGGTTTAATAGTTTCCTTGTGAGCAGCAATCCTCTATCAAGGAAATCATGATAGGAAACACAAGCCCGGGAATATCGTATCAATTGGGAGATATATACTCCGTATGCAGGCGCTGCTGGAATATTGCTACATAGAATTGGAAAGTTCACAATTGGGAAGCTGAAATCATCTCTTTTGTCGCAAAGTTTTGTTTTCAACCGACCCTCATTGTCAATTTCTAGATGTAAGTCAAGATATGAGGCAGACTTAACTGTATCTGTAGTATCCTTTATCTCTAGTTCGATGGGATAGATTCGTTCAACATAGTCACCAAATTTTGTATTATTTAGTGAAAGAACATCATCTATATAGCGGAACGTAGAGTTAAAAGATATTGCTAACTTCTTAACTTTCTTCCTAAGAAGTTCCTGTATTAGTTTCAGTCGATATACACGCCATCTTGAAAAAATTACTTATCACATATAGATTCTGATTGGTTGCTTTATGATGCGGCTGAGATACAGCAACAGTTATTGGCTTAAATGAGATAAAGTATTACAGACTTTTCTCGTCTCAGGATAAAATATCAAATGCCGGAAAATTAACTATGTGTATTTCAGTTCCGATCAACTGTCATTAATTCATGTTCGTTTTATTATGCATATATTGCACACTGAAATTCAATATTGAGATATCAATAATTAATACGTGTTTATTTGTTTTGATAGTCTGAAATATGCACGATTTGTTTTGCTAAACAATGTTTCTATACAATGTTTACAAAAATGCATTATCTGTATTTTATAACTTCTGCAAATCTAGGCACACCTCCAGAGAGGTACACCTCCAGAGTCGTGTCTATTTGTAAATGTTTTAATTTTCAACTAGTAAAGTGAACAAAATTTTAAAAGCATGGGTGTATAATGCACACTCTTAAAGTAGAACACCATCATTTTCATTGAAACTAAATATTTATTGCTGTTTACAATTATATGCTATTGCTTCGCATTGCAAGCTTTATGGTAAATCAACAACCACATGCACTCATATTACCTTAAATTGGGATACAGCGAAGCAGTCCACAG